TTTATTTCTCTTTCTCCGTCTCTTGAAAAGTGAGAGGAATGCAAATTTAATCACGAGAAAAGGTCAACGCTCGCTTTGGTTCCTATTTATCGGAAAAATCTTTGATTTGCAGTGGAGATTGTGGCAACTTAACGTTTTTTATTGGACAAAACTCAACGGTGTGGAGCAAAACGACAAGAACAGCACAAATAAGAAACCAGTGCTGTCCCACTGGGAACAGTTTTATTTAATATTAAATCTGACCAGGCCACTGCTTTACCCAGAGACCATCAAGTCTACTTTAACTGTTTATTGTTTTAACAATCAGGCATTCACAGAAATATTCAGGGTCTGTAAACATCTCTACAGCTTCAGCTACAAGACATTTTCCTAGATTACGGCACAAACAGCTTCACTGCACTTGTCTCGTGCGCTCATCAACGCTGTAAACGCTCCACAGACCAAACGAGCAAATAAACAGCCAGGCTTTGAATAATTTGTGAATAATTATAAAACGACAGCTCAAATTAAAGCAATTATCTGCTCCTTTTATGTTAATTCCAACCTTCAACACAAACCACAGCAGGAGCCTCTAAATTAAACAGACTGAAGATAATCTACAATGTTTAGGCTATAAATTATGGTTTGTATGCTACTTTTTAACAGGTTGTAAAACATGTTTGTTTCATTTGATGGAACGATGCTTGCTGCCTCATATTTTCAAAAAAAATATGCAGCTGGTTTGTTGTCGATGAACCTGACGAGCGTCTGAGGAGCGTGGCGAGTCTGTCGTAAGCTGCAGATTTAAACGCCGTCGAGTCCCACTGGACCCCAAGCCTCAAGACCAACAGCCCTCAGCGTGACATCATCCAACCCACACAAACTCTGCATCGTGTTCTGCAGCTCAGCTGTGCTAACGTAACCGACAAACTTTGATTTTCAAAACCCAAGCAGGAAAATGTGAGTCCTGTAAAACTTTGCAGACTTCTCCATCGTGGATAAGAAAGAGTGACTTAGCACCGTCCGCCGTGCAGCACCTCAGCTCCTCTGGGTCACGTCCTGCTTTAGTGGCTTTACAGAATCCTGTTCTGGATACAACAGTGTGATCCTGGAGGCTTTACGTGAATAAACCTCAGCTCCGTTTGGACTCATTTACCTCCTGGTGGGATTAAAGTCATGTGCTGGGTGTTTATGATTAAAGTCTCCTGAAACAGATGTTTTGGTTTTGCTTCACATCTGTCTGACATGAGTTATGGGAAGTTTCCAAAGATCTGCAGCGTAATGTCGCCCTCTAGTGGCTAATGTTAGTAATTAAACTCAATAACATTTAACCAACTTTAAATGTGATATTTTAGATGTAGACTGTGCAAATTGGTGTTAAATCACATCCTTGAATGAAATTAGAGAATTGACTATGAAAGCTTAGGGTTTTCTTTGCATGAAAGTGTATTGTTACTGTGTATTATTGTTTTTTGTACTACTAGTGCTTTGCATATTTTTCAATCTTACTGTTTTTTTTTGTTACATTTTATACTTTTGTTGGATGTAACTGGGACCCTGTGTATACAATTTCGTGCCACCACGTGGTGCGTATGACAAATAAGAACTGATAAATAACTGATAAACAGCTGGTTTAGTCAGTCAGGATGAGTTTGTCCTATTTCAGCCCATGGTCTTGGGATGATTTGCAGCTTAAGATGAGGTTAGTCTTTTAATTAATGTTAATGTTATTAATGTAACATAACACACTGTACTGTAATATACTTAATGTTATTAATTTACTTATTTATATATATATATATATATATATATATATATATATATATATATATATAGATATGTTTCTGTTCAGTGCCCTGAGATGACTTTCTGTTGTGGCTTGACGCTATATAAACTGCATTTTTATTCCTTTATCTATTTTTAAACAAAAACTGTCTGCGGTTTTAGTCACATCTTGCACCTGTGTCTTAAATTGTGACTTTTTTTAAAACTTGCATTGTATTTTGTTTTATTACCTGATGTTTTGTTGTACCCGTTGCCGTATTTTTCGGATTATAAAAGGTGCATGAAGCGAAACTAAAACATTGACAGATTGTTGAGCACCGTGTACCACATGAAATCGGTTCAAGGTCAGCAAGCACAGCCAGAATCAATTAAAACATAAGGCGCACCTGATTATAAGGGTCACTGTTGATTTTTGAGAACATTAAAAGGAATTTACGTGCACCTTATAATCCAAAAAATACAGTACTGGTATTAAGACGGTGCATTTCTAATGGCTTGTTTGCCCAGAACATCTTCATAAAAGAGATTAATCATCACAATGGATTTATTTCCTGGTAAAATAAAAGGTTTAAATAAACAAAATAGCTCATTTTAATATAGTTTTTCTAATTGATTCAACTTAAAATGTCTCGTATGACGTTTTTACTGTGAAAATCCATTTTGTTTTCCACCAACATACAAGCTGTGCATTTTTTTTTACATTAGCGGTTTTACAAAAATGGGAATTAAAACAGAGAACTTCCTATTCTTTATTTTTTAAATTGGTCTTCAGTCTGAAATAACGGAGGAATCAGTGACGGCTTTTCATATTTAAAAGTTTTTATTCTTCAGACTTCACCCAGAAATCTGAATCTGAGCAGTAACCGAGAGACGGAGTCAAACTCACAGAACGTTTACACTTTTAACTTTGTGCCCGCTTGTTTTTCATCTTGGCATTTCTGTACAGAAAAGTAACAAAATGAGTCAATACATTTTAAAAAGCAATAAAATAAAGAAGCAGAAGATTTTATTCTAGACTCCTCAGTGGAGTCTAGACTGAAGATGCGGAAACATTTCAACGAGTTCAGAGAAACATCTGGAAGATGTGCAGAACAGCTGAGCAGGAGCGCCGCAGAAAGGAGGCAATGGCGCAGGATTATCCAAAAAGAGCTTCCAAAAACTATAACAAATAAATAAAATAAGTCACTCGGAGTTGAAAAAGTCTCAAAACAAGTTTGTGGTTTGAAATTCATAAAACGTCCAGTTTGAGCTCCTGAAACGCCACAAAACAAAAACAGAAATATTTACATCAGAGAAGCAGAAAGAAAACTTGATCCCAAAATTCCCCGTTTTGTTCGGTAAAGAAGAGTTTAACACGAAGTCAAATATGTAAATATGTTTTGTATTTAAGTTGATAAAAGATACATGTGATTAAAAAATGTTACAAATCAGATTTTTGAGGTTATAATAAAGAATGTTAATGTTTCCTTTAGCTGGTTTCTAGAAGAGAAAACTCGTTTTTTTACATTTTGTTTAGTAAATTATTTACAATAATAAAGAATAAACTTGTATTTATCAGGACAGAAGCTGCACTTTAAACAGAGTTGCTGATTGGTCCCAACTGAACATAAATATAAAATATTTTACTTTATATAGACACGAAACAACTTGACATTTCATCGCGTTTTCACTTTTTGATGTGAAAAAATAGAAAACATGCAAAAAAAAAAAAAAAAAAAACTATCTACAGTAATATTTACAGTTATAAATAATAATAAAAAAAAGTGGACGCGGGATCTTTCCGAGGCTCTCGGCTGGTTTTATGTGCTGCAGGAGAAACTTTAAAATGATAGAAATCAGCTTTAACAGCTCGGCGTGTCATAAAACATGTTAACGGGTTAGGATCCTGCTTCGGTTGAGATTTTATTTTATTTTATTTTATCGAGTCAAAACAACATCGTCAACGCGTCATGTGACGCTTTTAAAAATTAATCGTCTCCTAAAACTAATTATTTTACATTTTCTAAATGAACCCTCGAGCTAATACTCAATAACCTCAGCTCAAGTGTCTGCTGTCCAGGAAAAAAAACGATATAAATCATTAAATTTACACCCATTATGTAAAAGAATCTAAAACATTTCTATAAAAAATAAAAATTAAAATAAAGATTTAAGCAGAAAATTTTTGATTTGAGTATTTTTAACCATCCTTTTTGAATTTTGATAACTTTTAATAATTTTTAAAGTCAGCCCCAGTAAGGTCCTTTAACGCGCAGCAGCTGTCGGCGCTCGTATCCAATAGAAAACATTTACCAAAGAAAAATCATTTGAAGGCTTTTCTGTTTTTAAGCTTCTTGTTTTTTCATCACAATCAGAAAGTTTATCGATGATCTGTCTGTGTGCCAATATTTGTTGATAGCATATATAGTTTTAAGGTTTTATAATTTAAAATATGAATATTTTCATGTCAAAAGAGCCACAGGCCAAATCTGGTCCCAAGATGATCATTTAAATGTAATATATTGTATCTCTCCTAATTTATTCTTTAAAAACAACAACTGATAAATACATCACTTAGTGTGGACAAACGGAACATCAAGTGAAACAGATCAAACTCGTTTATGAACCTGCAACCAAGAAAAGATATCGGTTAATGTATCAGCTGAAAGTGGCCCGTGGCTCAGACAAAGTTTTTAAATTTCGGCTACTTTTGGTAACTGAGACACTTGTATCCTGGGACACGCAATGCAAAATGTTCTCCTTCGTTAAATTCAAAATAGTTCCCCAAATGTTCCCCAGATCTCAGTCACTTCTTTTTGTGTAGCTCATCCCAAGACCAGATTATAACGAACGTGTTCCCTCAGTGTTTCTGCAGATTATTTACAGTATGTACAACAAATATACAAACTCCACAGAAACCTTCACCCAGACCATGAAACCGCTGCACGTTCCTGAATATTTCACACATTATCTTCATGGTGACAGTATCAGTGGCGTATTGGGAGTTCCCCTTTATAAAAAAAAAAAACCAGACCAGATGTTTGTTTTTTAACTTAAGACATCAGAAAGAAATTTAACTTTTTGACTCTCAGCACTTTCATGGTCTGCCACGCTGTATTCACGTTTAAATAAAAAACAAAATGCAGGACAGTTTTTAAGTGCAACGTGTTGCCCCGATTGTTTTTTTTGTAATATCTATATATGTAAAAGTATATATTATGACTTTGTTTTCTGAAGTTTTTCCACTAAATCACAGCAGGAGCAGTGACTGAATGAAAAGTCAGGACTCTGGTGGGTTTCTTGGATTTCTGCCTCGTCAGAATCAGCAGAAATTATTGTCAGAGGAGCCATTTTTAAAGATGCTTCCTCTGATTCTTCATCCAACTCACCATCAGACCGATACTCTTCTCTTCCTGCTACCGTTACCATGACAACGCCTCTTCAGACCCCGTCTGACTGGCTGATCAAGTATTCGGGCGTCCGTCTGCGGGCGGGTAGAGGTTGCTGTGAAGACGAGGCTGCTGATGATGGCGCGTGATGCTGGTGGCGTCCTCGGAGCGACGTGTTGTTGCCGTGGTGATGGTGGGCGCCGTGCTGCGAAGAGGAAGGAGGCGGGGTCGGGTCACGGAGGGATGGAGGGACGGCGGATGACTTGATGGCGACGATTCGGGTGTCCATGACCTCGCAGTCCACCTGCATCATCATCTCGTAGCCGTGAGACGAGTTGTACAGACTCTCTGAGGAAGAGGAGCAAAAGAGTGAGCAGCAAGCGAATGGACCAAAACGATCATTTTAGCCTTTCAGATACTTCGACTCACCGTTAACGGACATGGCTGGCATCACCAGAGACATCTTGGGTCGGCTGGTTTTGTTGTGGCTGATGGCAGGAAGTAGCAGGTGGTCCTACACAAACAAACAGGAGGCAGTTCGCCTGCTTCATAACTGGTTTTCAAAAACTGGTCCAAAACTGTAAACGACCTTTGTGATGTCGTACCCGCCTGAAAGACACGACGTAGAAGGTGTCCTCTCTGCGATCGATTGCATCCAGGAAGTCGCTGTAGGTGACCTCCGGACCAGGAAGAACCTTCAGCTGACTGTGGAAGAACCAGAAAGGAAACAAACAATCCAACTCAAACTAAAGCATCAAAAATCCTTTCAAAGAAACATACTCCGTTAAGTTTTATTTAAACATAAAAGGTCAAACAAAATTTTGTTACACAGTTAAACCAACTTGTTCAAAAATGTATCCATCGAACAGTGAAGAGTCGTGGGTACCTTTCTATGGAGCCGTGAGCCTGGATTGGCAGATATCTGGAGAAGTTCGTCTTCCGCAGCTGAGCTTTCTGTGTCAAAAGACAATAAGAACAAAGATCTTTGTATAAACCTGACGAGCTAAAAGCACAACACCCCTGATAATAATAACCGTCATGGAGTTCTGTCTTTAATGTGTGGACAAAAGAGATCGTCTTAATGAACGTGAAAGGTCACCTGGGTGATCTTTGCCTTCTTGGCGATCTTTGGTTTTCCTCCAGACTTCTTCCTGTCGATCTGATGTCGATGAACCCAACCTCTCAGCTCATCAGCCAGCCTGAACAACACAAAACACGTCCGTTTACGCAGCTGATAATAAACACAGACGGACTCACAAACACGGAGAACGCATCAAAAAATGGTATCAAATCAAACTTTGCCGGATTATAAGGCGCATTAAGCGAAACGAGTTCATTTGGACAGATTTTTGAGTGCCGCGTACATAGGCCTGTCACGATATCTAATTTTGCTGGGCGATTAATTGTCTCCGAAATTATTGCGATAAACGATAATATTGTTTGAAATTTGACAATAATTCGTAATGTCAAATTTAAGAAGAAATGTTGGTTAATTTGTGTGTAGTATCTTTTTTAACCACTAGATGGCAGTATAAGACTGTTTGACATGAAGGATGGATAGTGAGGGAGCGAGCAGCGTGTCTCTTTAAGAAAATGGGAGGGAGGCCCCTTGACGTGACATGGGCTGTCTCGCTTTGGTTCTCAAAACGGCGGGCGCTCTGTGTGGTTTGAGCTTTTTAGCATAGCATTTTTCACACAAAGCTTTTAATAAAAAATTTTTTAAAAATCAGTAAACAAGTTCTCAGCCTCTTTTTGCAGAGAAAAACAACTTTTTAGACGAAGACACAAGTTTCAACCGTGAATTTTGGAGCTTCAACAAGATGGAGAATGAAAAAAAAAAAAAAAAGGAGCATTGAAAGAGTAGCAGGAAGTTGTGGATCTGTTCACCTAATGTATTTGAATGTAAGCTGCAAAAAAAAGCGGGGGCATCAAATGCACAAATGTGCGATAAAGGTTTTTAACGGCGTCAGACTGACCTGAGGGACTCGGAGCGGTTGAACTGTCGGCAGCCCGAGGAGGTGAAGTAACGGTCGATTTCCTGCAGGGCCAAGTCCTTCATGTCACTAAACATGCCACTCAGGTTTCTGCACACAGATACATTAAATGCATGAAGATGGTGAGGTACTGAGCAATCCTCCATATGGAAACATGCAACCCCAACTCCAAAGCTTCTGAGATGTTGATCACAAAATTACTTAAAATTAAATACAGTAAACATATCAAATGTTTAAACTGCATTTTATCCATGTTAAGGAAAATTAATGATGTAAATTTTAGTTTATGGCAGTAACACATCACAAAACGATGGTGCAGAAACAAAAAAAACTAAATGTAAAAGTAAGTGTACTACCATTAAATAAAATTAAAAACTTTTTTTTAATTGTACAATTTCTTAGCTTAAAAAGTTGATATGTTTATTATGTTCCACTGTGAATATAATAAACGTTTATAAGATTTGTAAATCTTTGCATTCGCTTTAGTCTACATTTAACCTGCCAAGCTTTTCAGGATTGGGGTTGTTTTTAATGTTGGATTAGAAGTTAGGGATGAAAATCCTTCAGTTAAGAGTTTCACTGCAGCCAGTGAATCACCTGCAGAGGAACCTGTTGTTCCATGTGTAATGAAGGATGTGCTGAAAAACCAGTTACGTTACATAATTATTTTTCAATATTTGCATATTAGCATCCCAGAAAATAACGAACTGCAAGGAAACATAAAAGTGATTAATATAAGTATAAACACGTCATTTGAGGGATGAAGTAAAACATTTGAGAAAGAACACTGAAAAGCAAGTTTAGTAACAATTAGGGCTGGGCGATACGGACCAAAATTAATATCACGATATTTTCAGATGAATGGCGATATATACCTCAATTTATTTTCTTTATGTAAAGTAATAACAAAAACATATTTCTGAGTCAAAGCTTTGTCCCAATTGTCACACAGGCACATTTATTCACAAACAGCTGTAACAGTACAAAACAAATGTCTAAAAATAACCTATTTACATCTATTAAATAATAATCCCCTTCATCTGTGCCGCCTTCACGACAACTTAGCCCCGTGGTCTTTAGCCGTCTTGTTCCACAGTTGAGACTGGGACCGTGTCTTTGACGAGATAAGCAGCTGCTTTCTTAATGTTGCGCCACCTCTCACTGTTCTTCTCATAAGGCACAGCACGGCTAAATGAGTTCTGAGCCGTGGTTTGTCTCAGGGAGGGAAGCTGAAGTCTGTTTTGTCGGGACTTCTTTTCGGCATCGTCTACAGAAATCATTTTCCTGCTGCTTATCTGAGAATTTAAATCCAAACCGTCTCCAAATAACAGCCATTGTTTTTCTTTTTGCTCAGCAGCTAAGCTGCTCTTTGATATCCTGTCCCATGTTTACTTGTTGTGCTAAACTCCCGCCCACATGGAGAAGCAGGAAGTGGGAGGAGAGCATGCGGACGAGGGGGTTGGGTTTGTCAGTGAGGGAGGAGGGGCCACGTGAAGTTAGCACAGACAGGAGAAAATGAACTACATGGATTTTCAAGTCTAATTATAACTCGATGTAGAAATATCGATATAGTCCCGTCTTATATCACGTGTGAAATTATCGATATTTTTTAAATATCGAGATATCGCCCAGTCCTAGTAACAATGTTGTCGTTTGAGCTTTCTGAAAGTTTCTTAAAAATGTGTTTGGGTTGACAGCCACATTTAACTGCTGCCTCAAAAACAAAACCTCCAATGTACGCCTGCCTCTCTGATGGTATGGGTGTGCATTATTGCCCCAGCTGAAATGGAACCGAGCACAGATATGAGGCTGTTAAGTGTCTCACCGGAACTGAAAAGACTCTGGTGCATATCTCTCGGTCTCTCCTCTCCTCCATCGCTCGTCTCCCCCGTCCTCCTCCATCTCTGTCTTGTCCTCCACTTTGCTGGGAGGCTGAGCCGCCGCCGCCGCCGCCTGCTGCTGTTCGATCTCCAGCAGCCGTCGTCCCGAAAACGACACGACATCTTCCTGCAGATCTGTCGACAACTTCCTGTCTGTGATGCTGCGGAGACCAAACAAAACAAAGAAATCACTCAAGAAGAAATAAACCTACATTTTGTTAAATGTTATCAGTGATAAATTTTTTTATTTGAGACATCTATTATGAGAGCACAATTAATACTTGGTTAACACCGAAGAGACTTCTAAATGAAAAATTACCGAGTTGTGAGGCCAATTCAGTGATTTTAAGTGTTTTATTTATTTTTTCTTCTTTCTTTACAAATCTGAGATTAAAAAATAAAGCTCAACTTCATTAAACTGGCACAGCAACAGACGATTTAAGAGCAATAAAACTAATTATAACTGCTCTCTTACCAGTAATTCTAATATTCATTAGTTCTTTAACACAAGTGAGTAACAGAAAATAAACAAAGTTTTTAAAATTATGCACGTACAAACAATTAAGACTGACATTAGTTTCTAAAATAAAATAAAAAACAACTAAAAACTATGTTTGAACTTAACATAGAAACTTCAATTATCTTAAAAAAGGTACTAGAACTAAAGAAAATGCATTTCCTGTGAAAATGCAGTGTGAATGCTTGTTGCTGAAGAACTTGCTGAAAAACAGCTGAAATGAACCAAAAAATGCTGAAATGGACGAACAAGCAGTTTGTTTCACTTTGCAGAAGAAAGCAGAAAAAACATATTGTTGCTGAATTAGGGTTAAATAAACAGAAATGAGAACAAAAAATGAGAAATTTGCTAAAAAAAAAAAAAAAAAAAGGCTGTGTAGATGAACAGATGCTCAGATATATTCATCAATTAACACGGATTCCTCATTTTTCTGGACTGAATAAAACGTGCATTGAATTTAAGGAAATGCAAACGTGAGACGTCATTTATATTTGACCCATCAAAATGAATGCGGTCATTTATTTACAGAATCAAAATTTAACATCAAACATTTACATTAATTTGGCAAATTATGAAAATAACAACATAAGCAATCAATCAGGAAAAATCATACGGCCATGATTTTTCCGTTGCTTCACCACAGCGATGTTATGAAAACTGTACAATTATGATCTTTTACCCACATGAATGTGGGTGAGCATTTTACACAGACATTTCTAAAATATCTGGAAGAATTTCTACTTGATAGAAAAGTTTAAAGATGGAAAGAAGTTTAGAGGGAGTAAGATGGTGTGTGAGGGGTGAAATGTGTTCACCAGAATCGACACTCTCCGGCTTTCTTCAGCTTTTCCTTACAGTACACTTAGGTGATGAAATCGGCTCCTTTACCTGGAGATGTCTCAGGTGAGATTCCGTTTAACGCACCCTTTCAGCGTCTCAGTAGGATGCTGTTACTCGTCCGAAGTAATGGCGAGGCTCTGTTCGACACATATTCACCTCAGTGGAAAATGTTATAATCCCATGGAACTCGGAAGAGCTCTGTTGTCAGGATCATCCCGTCTCTCACAGAACTGGTTGGACTGTGTATCCAGCAGAACTCCAACAGCACTCCATCAGAACTTCAACAGAACCAAGACCGAGTAGACCAGGAAGTACTGACATTTTAAAGAGCTGTTTCCCGGTTCACTTTTGGGATTTGTTCATTGGTCAGAAACGACCAGACGGGGTGTGTTTTGTGACGTAAGAGGTTAGAGACAGCGAGAATTGTTATGAAACAGATCAGAAATGTTCTCACAGACAGAGAGAGTTTTGTTTTGGCGCTGTTTCAGCAACAGGTGCCAAAACTTCTCTATTTACGTCTGAGAGGATTTTAAAAACATGACAGTTTTAACATAACAACTTGTTTTGCGTTTTATTCCAACCTTGGACCAACTTACACTTGCTCATTCAAAAGCAGAAATCAGAAAATGCATAATTATTCTGTAACAGCTTTGACATGAGAATAAAAATCATTACTCAGTTAATAAAATTGATTAGTTCACTGCAACACCTAAAATGGTTTGAACTAAGACACTTTGATTATCAACATTTGAAAAATAGTAATGATAATAAAAGAGAGTGTTCTTTTCACTTGAATCTTCAAGAAAGAAAGTCTCAGGATGGGTGCACCTGTATTTCTGAGTTCAAATGAATGAAATGACAGTTCCTGTCCCACAAGGTTCTAAAGGTCAAGAGTTTTGACCTTAGACTTAGTTTTTGACATGGGCCTAGTCCACTACAGCTGAAATTAGCTGAAAAGGCAAAAAGAAACTTTAAACTACTAAAAGGAAGCAGAAGGAGCTGAAAAGAGCTCTAAGAATGTGAAATTAGCTGATAAAGCTTAATGTAGCATTAAAACAGCTAAATAGTAGCTGAAATATAAGAAAAAATTGAAGCTAGCAGAAATAAGCTGAAAGGAGCATAACAAGCTGAAATTAGCAGAAAGAAATTAATTAGGCTGAAAGTAGCAAAAATTATCCAGAAATTTTTGAATTAATCTAAAAACAGCTGAAATTAGCTAAAAATGCTAAAAAGGTAGAACAAGCTTGAATTAGAAGAAATCAGAAAAACACGTGTGCGCAATTAGGCTGAAAGAAAAAGAAATGGGCATAAAAATTATCTGAAAAAAATAAAATAAAATAATGAAATTAGCAACAAAACAGCTGAAAGTAGTTGAAAAATAGTTTAAATTTGCACAAGGAAGCAAAAAGAAGCTGAACCAGAACAAAACGTGAAAGGAGCAGTAAAAGGTTGTAAACACATCTAAAGACGTGAAGGATGTAAAATGAGCTCATTTTCTATGAGAAAAATAAAAAGTGGCAGAAAAGGCTAAATATTTCTAAAAGCTAAAAGTTGCACCGAAACCAAAAACCATAGCAGGATTGTTCTGAAAGAGCTGAACGTTTTGATTCATGATTTGTTGCAATAACTTGAAAACGGCACGAGAATCATGCCGAAAAATGTATGGAAGAAAAAAATGGATCACAATAGTGTGATCGTTTCACAAACGTTCACACTATTAAAAAAAATCTGAACAAAACTGGATTTAAAGAAGGATTTTGTCTGAAAGGGAGCGGACGGCAGATACCTGACAGGTCCAAAGCTAAAGGTCATGAAGAGCAGGACGGCCATGACACACACGGCCCTCTTGTTACTGGCAGAGTCGCCACTCTGAAACAAAAACAAGAAAACTGGAATTTAGAAACGTCACGTGTTGCATTTTTTGACACGAGCAAAACTTCCTGTCACTTTGTAAACAGACGTGCACGTTGCTGTTGATTTGGTGACACCTGGTGAACCACTGCTACATTCTGGGAGTTTAGGAACAGGTTGGACGAGTTCAACAGATTTGTCTTTGTGTCTTTTGTTTCGTGCTGAACAGTTTTCAGATCTCGTTTCTCCACTCTCGTTATTCCAGAGTTGTGCTCAACAGTCACTGCAGAAACTTTCCCCCAATCACAGCTCTTTACATATTGTCAAAAATGAGAAGGTGATGAGATGCACTCTTTTCTTTAATCCCACTAAAATCTAACTTTAACCTGGAATCCGGTTCCTTTCCAGCACCATGTTTGACAAAACCAGTCAAACCTCTTCATATTCCTTTATGGCCGTGAGTTGCTGTAAGATGTTTATCGACGTAAAGTTGTTATTATCTCGGTACCTCTTTGCCAGCCAGTCTCTCCCTCAGCGCCTGGTTCTCCCTCCGGAGCTGTTCGTTCTCCTGCTGGGCCTCCCTCAGCTGAGCCTCCAGGTTCTGCAGATACTCCTTCTTTTTCTTTCTCGACTGGCAGGCGGACTCTCTGTTCTTTATCATTCTCTGCTGCCGCTTCAGCACCTTCATCTGCGCGAGGAGGGCGTCGAGAGAAACAAACACCGCGAGGTTTTGATAAGTTATTAATAAAGAGATTAGAAATGTCAAAAAAGGACAGTTGTTAAAGAGGGGGGAGTCAGGTGAGGACAGGAAAACAGGCGTATGACAGTGTTTATTTATCACTGAAATTAGTTCAAACAAGTTTCATAAAAGATTCAAATATAAAACCGTCAGATTTTATTCAATAAAATAAACGGGAGTTGTTTTTAAAGCCCATTAATGCGACGGTCAGAAAATGGGAACACTCGAGTGATCGTGTTTCAGGAAGCTGTGGGAGTCACATCCAGCCTGCTTACATCAATATCGTTGGAGTTGTTGCTCGGTAACTGTGTGGTCGCCGGGACGATGGGTTTACTGGTGGAGGAGGCGGCAGCTGGGCTAGAACAGTGCTGGGGGATGCTGGGAGAGACGGGCTCCACTTTGACGATAGCAGGAGCTGAACTGAGGCAGACGGACGGAGAGAGGACGACTGGAGGAGGAAAGATGACAAATGTGTGACCAAATGCTTCATTAGAGAAGTTTAATGTATAAAAAAAAATAAAAAAGAAACTCCCTACCTGGTCTGGTCTGGTCCATGGAGGGGAGGCTCTGCAATATGAGGGTCTTTGCTGGTGTGGGGCTCTGGGGGACGGGGAGGGTGGTGACACACACCGGTCGGGGCTGAATGGGAGGTTTGGTGCTGAGGATGGTGCTAGCTTTTAATGTTGTTGAACTCGGGAGGACTGGAAACAAATAAACAAGTTTGAGGTTATTTTCCAAACAGTAAACAAAAAAACAACAACTGCACCTTAAAATAAGACTAAATCAGACCTTTTAATAAAAAGATGGGAGCCATTATCTCACTGTACCTGTGATGCATTTGTTTACATGCGAGTATAAAATACAACATGTGTAGCCTACACAGCTGTACAGTAAAAGAAGTTCTGTGAATGTATGAATGAACGCAGTATAGAACTTCACAAGACAAAAAGTGTGCAACAGTCCTCCCCGTTTTGGGTTACATCCCATCAGACACCCTTCATCTGCAGAGGAGTTCCCACACTCGTACTGTACACCCTCCATTGTGTCAGGGCTGCCCCGGGGTCTCTGTGCAGAGGAGGAGGGGGTAAACTGAGAGCTCTCCTTTCAGGCTAGACGCTGACAGCTAAGTGCTAAAACATGAACGTGAGAGGAAAAATCCCGTTTTTAGATCTACGTCTGCAAAAGTGGCGCGGCGATGAGCGCTGAACAACAACAAACGTTACACGAGTAAAAAAAGAGCGCAACCTGATCTTTGTTTCATACTCTGAGGAGAAGGGCAGGCTCTTGTTGATCCAACACTTGACAAGTGGTACCTGCAGCTTGTGTCTGTATTCCACTGATGACGGCTGGGACAGATGTCAACGGTGTCTGCAGCTGTGTCTGAGTCACTGTAGGTATGTGGGTCAGAAGCGGGGGTACTGATGGCGTTGCCATGGTTACCTCCATCGTCCCCAATGGCGGAGACAGCACATCCCCATACATGTACGGAGGAGTTGGAGGGTTTTCACTTTTAACTGTAATCTGAGGAGAAGAGGACAATGAAACAATGACGTGTTGGACTTTTGGGTGTTTTTCTGCTTCACGTTGTCCGACAGACTGTCCCCCAGTCTGAAGACGTTTGTGTTATGAAGCATTCACACTGTTGGGATCCATTTTTCTTCTGTACGCATTTCAGCATCTTTCTCATTCCACGGTTTTTGTGCTACTTCAACAAATCATATTCAAAACGTTCAGCTCGTTCAGGAAAAGGGTGCTTTGACTTTTGGTATTGGTGCAACTTTAGCTTTTTGAAACATTTAGCCTTTTCTGACATTTTTTTGTTCTCGTAGAAAATCAACCGAGCTCATTTTACATCCTTCAAATCTTTAGATCCGTTTACAACCTTTTACTGCTCCTTTCACGTTTTGTTTTGGTTCAGCTTTCTTGTGCAAATGTAAACTTTTTCAGCTGCTTTCAGCTAACTTCAGCTGTTTTGTGATCCTTTCAGATTCTTTCTGCTAATTACAACAATTTTGTGCTTCTTCTAACTTCTCTGTTAATTTCAGCTTGTTAAGCTCTTTTCAGCGTACGTCTACTAATTTCAGCTTTTTCTGCTATTTTAGCTATTATTTAGATGTTTTTAATGCTAATTTTAGCTTTTTAAGTCAATTCCACATTTTTTGCGCCCATTTTTACTTTTTTCAGTAATTCAACACACATGTACTCTACTTCCTTCTGGTTATATCAGCTTCTTTCAGCCTTTTTAGCTACCGGTACTTTCAGCAGGTTTTTTTTTTAAGTTCAGCTTTTTTCAGATAATTTCCACTTTTTGGTGCTCATTTCTGCTTCTTTCAGCCTAACTGGGCAAAATTATGCTCTCTCCACTTCCTTCTGCTAATTTAGGCTTGTTCTACCGTTTAAGCCAAGTTTTTTGCATTTTTGGCTAATTTTCAGTATAATTAACTTATTTTGCTAATTCCAGCTTGATATGCTCCTTTCAGCTTATTTCTGCTAGTTTCAGCTTTTTCTCTTTCAGCTACTATTTAGCTGTTTTTATAATAAATGTAGCTTTTTCAGCTAATTCCATATTTTGTTGTGCTGCTTTCTAGTAGTTTAAGATTCTTTCTAACTTTTCAGCTAATTTTTGCTAATGTCAACATTTTTAGCTAATTTAAATAATTTCCTAAATTTTGTGCTCATTTTTTCCTATTTAAACCTAATTCAGCAAATATGCATTCTTTCTTCTGCTAAGTTCGGCTTATTCTTCCATTTTAGCTTTATTTCAGCAAGTTTTTGGCTCATTTCAGCTGTTTTTCAGCAAGTTCTTCAGCAATAGGCATTCACACTTCATTTTTGCAGGAAATGCAATATCTCTAGTTTTCTTTGCTGTTAAATAAAAAGCACCAAAGTTAAGAAATAAAATTGTTTTGTTATAATAAACCCCACAAAATAAGGAATGTTCATTTATGCGTGGTGAACTGCTTACAAGAGAGTCCCTAATGTTAACAGACCTGTGGGTCGGGTGAAGACACTGAAGAGTCGGACTCCAGCGAGGATGCAGGAGACGGAGGCTCTGATTTTATCTGGAACACTGAACACAAACAAAACCAAGAATGTATTAAAAAACTGGTTGAACTTAAAAAAAAAAAAGTGAAACAAACCTGATTTAAATAACTCAACTTACACATTTCCACAGGTAAAGGTTCTGTTATTGTCATTTCATGTTTTATCACTGAAGTGTTTCCTGAAACGTAAAACAAAGATGGAGACTGATGTTAAGACGTCAAACAGGCAATCTGAATAATGTTTTTAATACAACTGATGACTACATTTTAAAGAACTCAAACATTACATTTGATTTAAATTAAAAACACCCAACAAACATAAATTAAACACTGCTTGAGCAAGAGTGAAAGACTAAACCCCAGAATATGATTAGTAAAGTAACAAAACAAAATCTTTAAATGTTTAGAAGAATGTTAAAAAATATCAACATAAATACGGTGGTCCAAAGTGTTGAGAAGAGAAAACACTGAACATTTCTACGCATTTCGATCTATACAAGAAACTTAACGGAGACAAAAACACATCCAGAATGTGCTACAATAATACTTTTTATGTGGAAATTAAGGCAACTATTCTTTAATAACTTTACAAAAACACTAAAAAAAAATGGTTGAAGGTTTCCAGGGGCTCGACCCGCCGCTGGAAGAAGAGGCGTCTCGGGTTTCAGAGACAAATGAAGCGTGAAACCAAAAAGTCTTGACCCCGAGCTGAGAGCCACGTTCGGCCAGATGCTCTGTACCTGTTAGAATGTTGTTGTCGAGGTGTTGCCATGGCGACGTGCGGTTGTCAGGATCAAGGGTGAGAACGAGCTCATTGTCGAACTGCAAGAGAAAGAGAAGAGATCAAGAGAAAAAACAAACAAGTGTATAACTAATGTGTGGGGGGGATGGGGGGGCGGTGAGTAAACGCCTGCTAAGCTCAACCAGCCGACACACAGTCAGCTTATATCGTCCTCATCTTTTATGTGAGCATAAAGATTTTTGAAAAACTAAAATCATGCAGCTGCCAACAAATACGAACAAGCCCGAGGACGAGTTTAACATTTAAAATAATACTAAATCTTTTACACCAAAATAAAATAAAGTTTTACAATTAGCTTAGGTGGCGCAGTTGGTAGAGTTGTTGCCTCTCTGCAAGCAGGTCGCCGGTTCAAATCCCAGCCAGGGGCCTTTCTGGGTGGCGTTTGCATGTTCTCTCCGTGCATGCGTGGGTTTTCTCCGGGTACTCCGGTTTCCTCCCACAGACCAAAAACATGCATGTTAGGCTGATTGGTGACTCCAAATTGTTCCTAGGTGTGAGTGAGAGACTGAATGGTTGTTTGTCTCGCTGTGTCCCTGTGATGAAACGGAGACTTGTCCAGGGCGTCCCCCGCCTCTCGCACAGTGACTGCTGGTTACGGGGCACCAGTGACCCCCTCGACCCAAAAAGGAAGAAGCGGGTAAAGATAATGGATGGATGGATAATTAGCTTAGTGTTTGTGTTCTACCAAAAGTCCAAAGCACAAAATGCCACCAAAGCAGATCACTTCCCAACTTCAGAAAATCTAATAGTCTTCATCTTTCCTTTAATATTATGGGCAGAAAGAGAGGTGTAGGGACAACATGCACAGAAAACAAGTGAATGTGCTGTGTAGGAACATTTTTACCAGAGTCACTTTATAGCAGAAGGCAACAAACAAAAAAAGTGACCTTATGTGAAAAAAACGAGCACTGGCTTAATACTGACAAGGCAACAAAGCTGAGATAAGAAGCGTGAGCTGTAACATATAGTATTTAATAAAAGAACTTAAAGTAAAACAAGTCTTAAATTACTCAGATCACTGCTTTCAACGAGCCACAAAAATATTGTACATGGGGGAAATAAATTCCCATTTAATATCAAATACAATCACAACCGCAAACAATTTATAGGAGAAAATGTGTTTATGTGTTGAGATTAATTTGCATTAAAAAACCTAAACTCTTAAATTGAAATTAAAATCTGCACAAGTGAAGCAGAGTTTAAGCTGCGAGGAACACCACACACACCATTTGATACAAATCTCATTTAAGTAAGATAAACAAGTATCTGAAGATTTATTTACATCATGATTATGATGTGGCTTTAGGCATTAACTGTACTTAAAGTTGCTTATCCTGCTCAAACAATCAAATGAAAACAGGGTTAGTTAAACAAACATGAGCACCAAACTGTTTTTAAGTGACAACAAATGTTCTGTTTGTCCCGTCAGTTACTTGAACCCGTTCATTTCCTGCAGGTCAGTCAACAAGTCCATCCTGTTAACCCTGCAACTCCAACCAAGGAGTGATGCAACAGATTGATCCAACACCAAAAACATGACTCGGCATCTCTGTCTTCTCCGACAGCCAGCTGTATTTAGATTCAGTTTGAGTGTGAAGCAACATGTATGTGCAGAGCCTCTTCTAAACAGTAAACTAAATCAACAAGTGCCATCTCAAAACAAATAACTTTGTAAAAGTAATGCAAAGTTAAGAAATATTGCTGACACTTGAGGAATAAAATCACACCAGTGAAGCTACGGTGAAAAAGCTAAAATTGCATAAATTCGCATTGTGGCACTTTCCCAAAGATTTGTGCAGAGTTACTTACTTCCACTTAAACTATCTAATTTGCTGCATTTATTATTATTTTTTTTTAAAGATGGTTGCTTCTTCTCATTTCTTCTTAATTTGACTCAACATTTAAAGCTCACGCTGCACTGCGTCTCCCAAAAACCAAACAAGAACGGCTATGTAAATGTTTTACCAACAAACCAGCTGTTTTTCCTGAGGTGGTGCTAAAAGTTAACAAATTTATAGTGAGGACTGAAAGTGTCAAATGACAGAAAGTCAGAAATAAGATGATAAAAAGCCTCGAGTAAGTTCCACACGGGAAACATCGCCATCATAAAAATCAGTTTGAGAAGTTTTGTGAGACGATGTTTCTTCTGGGCACTGCTGGTCCCTGTGTTTGTTTTGTCGAAGCTCCAAAATTCATGGTTGAAACCCGTGCCTTTGTCTAAAAAGTTGTTTTCTCTGCAAAAAGAAGCTGAGAACTTGTTTACTGATTTTTTTAATTTTTTTTATTAAAAGCTTTGTGTGAAAAATGCTATGCTAAAGCGCTCAAACCACACGGAGCGTCCGCTGTTTTGAAAACCGAAAAACAGGAATGAGAGACGGCCCACGTCACGTCAAGGGGCCTCCCTCCCATTTTTCTTAGACACGCTTCTCGCTCCCTCACTATCCATCCTTCGTTTCAAACAGTCAAAAATGGTCACAAAAAGGTACTACACGCAAAAATTAACCAACATTTCTTCTTAAATTTGACAATTACTAATTATTGTCAAATTTCTAACAATATTATCGTTTATCGCAATAATTTCTGAGACAATTAATCGCCAAGCAAAATTTGTTATCGTGACAGGCACAAAATGTAAAATAAAATGCTCCAAAAAGTCTGTTTTGATTAAACTTGTTCTCACATTTGTTAGAGAGCTCAGATGAGGGATAGTTAAGCTTCACAGGTTGCTTTGTTTATTGGTTTATTGAAAAATGGAAGTGTTTTGTTGTTCGTTTGTTACAACATGTCCCATGTAAAGATTTTTCAAAAAATTGCTCAGCGCAACGACAACATGAGCCTCAATCCATCATCCATACCAAAATGAACAATTTATCTAACTTTAATAGAGTTTAACTGAATTTGCCGTGCTTATAATCTCTCCAATTAAAAACACTGTATCTACTGGTAAGTGTGAGCATTAGTGAGTTCCTGCAGACTGTGTTAAAGTATCAGTTTTTAACAGTATCAGTTTTTAACAGCCCGTTACACTTTATGTTCTGTACTGTGAGCAGAAACACTTCGTGTCCATACCGATGTCTCGTAGTTCAGCCTCTGACCCAAGTCTCCGTCCTCTCCCTCCTCCATGCTCTCACACTTGAACAGACAGGCATCTGCAGAGACAAAACTTCATGCATCAGCAGGATGCAAAGAGTGAAACTAATAAACAAATGGCAAGGGGCAAAATACTGATCTGAGAACAGTTCAGAATCAAAAGCACATCAGAAATCTCTGAAAATGTATAAGTTACAACCCTCCTCAGTGGGGTGAAAATATAATTGTTCTCTAAGGCAATAAAGCAAAATGTCAATAACATTTAACCAAAATGTGAAACACAAAAGGAAGAACAACTAATCTTTATTTGGGATTCCTGCTTTAATACCTAAATTATGCAGCTGTAAAATTTAGAAATCAATACAACTCCTGCACAAAGTGTTCTCTGCACGAGGAGGGGAACATGCTTTGGTTTTACTATTATGATGATGACATGTTGATGTAAAATGTTAAACTAAGGACCAGCAGCATTTTGAAGACTTCCTCTGTGTCCTGCAGCTTTAATAGCACTTTGGTTGGCCTTGTTGCTGTTTTAAGTGCTATATAAATAAATTGGTATGGTATGGTATGGTAATACTTTTGAAACCAATTTTTTTTAAGTACCAACAGTCAGGATCTGCTGGAAAAACAGCTGCTGTCAGCGATGTCCGTTCTGCTAAAGTTTAAGCCAATGTGGAGCTCGTTATTGTAACTGCTTGTGTAAAAGCGCCCGGTTGACATTTATTAACCCACTCGACATAAAGAGCAGTGAAACGAAATGTGGTAAATGATCTGCAACACTTCAGTCCCAATGAGATATTGATAAGAAAAAACATGGTCAAGACTTGTTGACTTGAAAACACTATTGACAACATGCTCAGCTAATGAACATCTTATTTCTGAATAGTGACTGCTGTGATGTCTCAGCCACGTGTAAGATAGCTAATACTACAACTATGAAATGTTTGATGATTCACTCGGAACTATGTAACAGTAAAAAGAAACGCTTGTACGTATTTTGCATTTGTCACTATTTTAGTAGTTTGTATCGTTTTGCATTTACAATGGATGAAAAACATAGAAGCCGTCCACATGACAATGTTTTTAAAAGAACAAACTTTTTATTATTATTATTGTTTCAGCTTTGCAACATATTTTTTTCTGTAGGAGACACTAAACCGTATTTTGAAAATGGTTTCCAGTGAAAAGAACCTTAACATGCAGCTATAGTGTTTTCATGTAGACGGCCAAAACACAACCATTTTAAAACAATAATGCCAAAGCCCGAACTTCTAATCTGACCTACAACATGAGAACATCCTTTTTTTTGTTGTGGTGGTGGTGTCAGGTTTTTTTTTTCCCAGTCAGTAATCTTTAGGAGCAAGCCCCACGCCTTGTTTCCTGTTTTTGTATATTTGCATAAAAGCACCACACACGGGTTTTTAGCATCGCTGCTACAACATTTTAGGTTGATTTTGGTGTCATTTATCAATGACAAAACAAAAAGACTGTTTATAGTGTTTTTGTGTGAACAGGGATACAGAGCCACGTTATCTCCTGACTGGTCCGCGAGACTTCAAATGCTTTACTTCATTCTGCGCTCTCATGTCACTGCAATAAGATTTTTTTCCACAAACACAATTTTCTTACAAATTATATTACCGTGATTGTTTATACTATCTTATACTTGTATTTATAATTTCCCCATCTTATTTTGCATTCATTTACACTTCTTGATGACTGCTATAAATACTGCTACATGGTTATTTATTTTACCACTAATAAAGATATCAGTCCTCATACCTGACATGAAAACTGAATTTACCAGCTGGGTTCACATTCACTAAAGAACTGGTTCTGTTCATAGGTCAAGTGAATATTTGTATCATTTACAGGAAAACTACAAAATCCGTTGAGTGCTTATGTTTCCCATCATACCTTGCAGATTCTCGTGCACCCTGGACTTCAAAGTCCAGGGTGCACAAAACCAACAAATAAAAAAAAAAAAGTCACATCAGAGCTTTTTTATGGAGTCTACATCCTGCAGAAGCAGCCAGGTGTTTCATAGAAGCAGATGGTTGCTGTTTGCATCCTATCACCTTTATAAATGCTACAGATTAAAATTTGTTTGGCCCGTCTGAACACATCTGGGCAGCAAATATTTATTACGTCAACATTTTGTCTTGTAAAAATAACTTCAGATGCCGTTTCAAAGTCTGTTAAATTGATTAATACGTATTTTAACTATTTTCCAACAATGCATGTACCGAATCTTTAAACTAAGCAATGAAAATAATTATTGAATTCTTGCAAGTTTTCCGTTTTCTGCCACTGTTAATGTCTAATTTTTTTTTTTACCTAACTGACGGACTACAAGAGACAACCAGTAGGGCAGTAACCAATAACTTTGGTCCTAAAGCTCCAGTTGGTTGTAAAAACCTCACAGTTTGACTGTCAAATTTACCCAAACGCTTTAGCGACAATAGATTGTGTTAACAGGGAACAACAGAGGAAACGAATCAGGTGAGCGTTCTGCACGTTCAGCTGCAGAGTAATATTGTTCTGCGCAAAACATGTTTCCCGACTGGAGATTTTACACACGAGGCTCAGAAACTGTCAAAAGAACCAAGCTGCAAATAAAACGACAGCAGAAATCAGTCTGCACGGTGGCCGTGTCCTGCTGAGTAAAGCCGACTCCTGCAGTTCAGTCCAAAGCAATAAACTATTTATTCCTGGGAGTCACTTGTGCTCCATCACAAACTGGAGGAGGGCTGAACGCCATCTGTTTCTGTTTCCTGGGGGCTGATTAATCTCTTGCCTCCCCTTTTCCTTCCCATTGCAAAACTACTGTACCATCAACAGAGGGTAGGTCTCTCTTGTAAAGGAGTCCTCGAGGCTCAACGAGACTAACCTGTATAATCAAAGGTTGAATAATATGAGCCTTTAAAATTCAACTATCTGTTCCGTTTACAAACCCTTCCGCCGTGTTTTGTTTTTGCAAAGATCTGAAATATTCCCATCAGAAAACAGCAACTACCTCAATGCGAGCTTCAAAAACGTTTTCTATAATTTCAAAAAGTGTGGTTGAGTTATTTCATTTCACACAAAGAAAGTGTGCAGTTGATCGCAGAAAGAAAGTAAAAATTGCTCAGCTTGTTTCGTAATTTTGCACGATATTCTGTTGACCTCATGTTAGTTTGAAGAAAATGAGATTGTGGCAAATACTTAGATTAAATAGGCTGCTTATAACCTAAATCGACCTTTAAGGCTGTTTTAATGTATACTTTTGTAAAGTCAAAGTACTAAAAACAATAGATTTCACTAAATTGTAACCAAATAACTACATTAATATACTCTGGTACTGTTTAAAAATGTAATAGAAATAGATTATTAGCAGGTTTTGAGGATTTGGGAGGCATAAAGGTTTTACAATCATAGTTATAGCTGTTTAGGCAAATAAACTAGCTTTGTTTAGGAGTGATGAAATACTGGGACTCCATGTTAAGAAGGGTCAACAAACCCATTCAGGGAACAGAACACATTTTACATTTTATCTAAAAAAATAAAGGCAGTATAGATTTGAAACGTGTCAACAAAAGTGGATAATGTCTGTATGTAAGGGGGAAGAACTATAAGTAGTTATATAAAATGTGTAATCACGTTTCAGGGTGATAAAACACGCATGTCCGGGTTTCCTTAGAGGAAGCAATAACGCCGAGAACGCGTGCTAATGACATTTAGAGCACAATTCTCGAAAACCAACATTAAATAAACAGTTTTGTGTCTCAAACGACAGCTGAAAGAGAAAGAAATAGAAATACCGTGAGTCGCTGTAACGCCCCTGTTAGCATCGCCTCGAGCCACATATACCCGGTTAGCTTGTATCGCTACATCAACCTTTTAATTCAACTTATAAATAACTTACACTTTAACTTACCCCAGTCTTCGCTCGTCAGAAGGTTATCGGCGAAGAATCGGGTGTCCAAATCAGAAAGTAAATCCGTAGCCATAGTCACAAAGGCGGCGTGTTTGGGCAGCCAGATAAGCTAGCACAGCTAAGATAAAAGCTCTAACTTTAGCACCAAGCTAGCGCAGCCGTATCATATATAGACGCCATTTGCTGAGTAAATTATGCGGAATTTAAATATAAGAAACAATATTTAAACGCTCAAAAGTCGACTTATCGGTCTTGCCGTTCGATTTGCATATGATAGACAAGGAAACGCATTTTCCAGAAGGTAACCGCCTACTTTTAAAATATTAACCAATGAATGTAAGGGCAACTCTGATTGACATTCAAATCAACCAATAAAATGAGAGCATTGTGGGATTGGGTAGTTATTTAGCCAATTGTACAGCAGGTTTCTAGTGCAGCCCTTTAATGAAAGTTTAGTCCAATCAGACGCTGGTATTTTGATCGACAGCAAAAATAACTAATGAGCAAGTGTGTTTTCTTTGGATTGACAGTTGGACTAGCCAATAATTAATTAGCAGAACAAAAACACTTTTGAGAAAATCACCTGCATTCGAACGTTGGATTGATAAAGATGGAACATGCATCCAAGTGAAAGAAAACCTGTATTCCCAGTTGCACAGACTAATAATAATAATAATAATAATAATATTATATATATATATATATATATATATAATATATATATAATATATATATATATATATATATATATATACCATACCATACCAATTTATTTATATAGCACTTAAAACAGCAACAAGGCCAACCAAAGTGCTGTACAAAAGAACACAAACATGCACAGCAGACAGGAAAACATAAAATAGAAATACAGATACAAATAGCAGCAGAAGCTAACTAAAATGGCCAACAGAGTAAAGAACAGACCGGGCCAAAACAAATCACACCGTGTTAAAGGCAAGCGAATAGAAGTGGGTCTTCAAGCGAGACTTAAAAACTGAGAGTGCGGGAGCCTGCCGGACACTCAGTGGCAACTCATTCCACAGTCGTGGACCTGCAACAGAGAAAGCCCTGTCACCTCTGAGCTTACGACGGGTTTCTGGGACTGAGAGAAGCATCTGGTCTGCTGACCTCAGAGAGCGCGGTGGGACATATGGCTGCAGAAGATCAGTGAGATAGGATGGGGCGGAACTGTTCAGTGATTTAAAAACATATATGAGAATTTTGAAATGGATCCGAAGGTGAATGGGTAGCCAGTGCAGGGAGGCCAAAACTGGCGTGATGTGCTCTCTATAGCCTGTACCAGTTAAAAATCGGGCTGCAGCATTTTGGACCAGTTGTAGACGAGCAATGGAAGACTGACTGATTCCAAACAGAAGTGAATTGCAGTAATCAAGCCTAGATGTTATGAAGGCGTGGATCACTGTCTCAAGGTTCTTTTTGGAGAGTATAGGCTTCAGCTTAGACAGCCGTCTCAGCTGAAAAAAACAGGATTTTACCATCATGTTTACGTGACTGTTGAGTTTTAAGGACGGGTCCATTATCACCCCCAGATTAGTGACCTTTTGTTTCTCTAGCGGGGCTAGAGAGAAAAGGTCAATGTCATGGTTCATGAGTGAGCCACTGGGATGGAACAGCATGACTTCAGACTTCTTCTCATTGAAGCTTAAGAAGTTTAAAGCCATCCAGTCCCGGATGTCAGCCAGGCAGTCAAGAAGAGGCTGAATAGAGCGTGTGCCTCTGTGCCTCAG